AGTTCATCCACTTGGTGTTGTATCTCCTTTGTTTCCTCCGGGTTCATTCTATAGGCTGGTTTATTTGGTAAGGCAGCCCCGGGAATGAGGTCGATCTTGTGTTGGAGGTCTCTTTTTGGGGGCAGGCCGTGTGGTACATCTTCGGGGAAGACGTGGGCATATTGTTCAAGGATGGAGATGGCTAGAGGATGGGGCTGTTTGGGAGGATCAGTGGGTTCGGCCATCTCAAGATCAAGGAGAATGAGGTCCTTGAATCCTTCATGTTCGTGGTGTTCGGTTTGGAGTATAGTGGAGATGAGGGATGGAGGGGTGTTGTTGCTGGTTTGGGCCGTGGGTGAGGAAGGTGGGTGTAAGGGAGTGAGGGTAATTTTCTTCTTATTCATAAGGAATGAATAAGTTTTCAAGTAGCCATCATGCTGCACTTTGTTGTCGAACAACCAAGGACGTCCCAAAAGGACGTGGCATGCATCCATGGGAATGATATCGCACCAAATGTCATCCTTATAAGTCTTGCCGATGCTCAGCGAGATCAAGCACCTCGTGTCAACACGTAAACCCTTGCCTTGGTTTAGCCATTGAATAGTATAAGGCTTGGGATGAGGGGATACCTTCAAATGTAGCTTTTCCACCACGGTTTTGGAGGCTACATTAGAGCAGCTCCCGCTATCGATGATTAACGAACACACCTTCTTCTGAATGGTACAACGGGTATGAAAGATGTTCTCCTGTTGTAGTTGCTCCTTGGGGCATGGTATGGCACTTAAGGTCCTTCGGATGACCAAAAGTTCACCATCGTCGGGGCCAACACATTCTTCTTCCTCCTCCTCGGCTACTTCTTCATCCCATACGGGATTGTACTCTTCATCATCATACTCAACCAAGGCCATTATTTTCTTGTTTGGGCACTCATTGGCGTAGTGACCTGTTCCTTGGCATCGGTAACAAACGGGGTTTTTTTGTTGGTTGCAGGGGCTGTTTTAGGTGGGGGAGGAGTAGGATTTGGTTTAAATGGTGTTTGGGGTTTGGAGGTTTGGCCGTGGGCAGTAGGGGTGAGTTTTGAGGGGGTATATGTGGGGCGTGAGTAAGGGGGAGGGTTTCTTGAGAGAATGGTTTTGGATTTCTTCATTTGAGCCTCAACTTTGAGAGCCAACTTAGTAAGCTCTTCAAATGTAGTGTAGCCTTGCAGCTCCACCGTATTGGCTATTTGGAGATTTAGGCCAAAAAGGTACCTTACAAAGGTTTTCTCTTCGTTCTCTTGTAAGTCACACCTGAGTAGGAGTTCCTCAAACTCCCGGGTGTAGTCTTCCACGGACTTCGTACCTTGCCTAAGCGTTTGAAGCTTAGCAAAGTTCTCTCGGGAATATTCAGTGGGTAGGAACTTCTTCTTCAAGAGACTCCTCATCTTTTGCCATGAGTCAATGGGAGGCTTCTCACTTTGAATCCGTTTGGTGCAGGTGTTCGTCCACCAAGTGGAGGCGTACTTGCGGAATTTTAAGGCCACAATCTTGACCTTCTTGTCACCGGAGACTTCTTTGAAATCAAAGACTCGTTCCACCGTCTCTAACCACTCAAGAAATTCATCCGGGTCATTCTTTCCTTCAAAGATTGGAATATCAACTTTGAAGTCAGAATATGACTTTTCGTGAGCCCTAGCTCTCATGGTGGCACTAGAGCTGGATTCCTCTTCATCTTCACTATCTCGTAGCATGGACATCTTTTGCTTTGTGAGCTTAGCCACTTCTTTGGCTAGGTACTCCACTTGAGCTTGTAAAGCAGCGTTTGAGGCCACAAGTTCTTCATGGGACATGCTTCGGGATCGGTTTGACATGGTTGATAGGAAAAGGGATGAAGTGGGAGTAGAGATTAAATGTGGTTAGGCCGAATTTAGGGAGGGAGTTGGGGAAGTGTGTATGGTCCTTGAGAGAAGAGTAACAACTAGCTTTGATACCAAAATGATGTACCCAAGCTTAGGAAAAGCTATGGATAAATAAGGGCAGATTATAGAGAGGAATATATGGTGAAGAATAGGTTGGATTAGTATATGAAATGGTGTAGAAAATATGGTTGTTTGGAAGAGGTGATAGGGCAGAATAAGGGGCAGGAGAAAAGCAATATTATGGAGTGGTTTTTGATGAAGAAATGAAGTGTTTAAATGGGAGAAAGGAGATGGACGAAATTAGGAAAGAAAAGGGAGTTCTTTTGTGGTTTTTTTTGTAGAAGGATAAACCAAATAATAAATAAGAGATAAACACACTCTTATTCTATTTGGGGCTGTTTCTTTTCACACAATAATATTCACTATTATTATATGAAATAGACTCCTAACACACACTCAAAAATAGCCAACTTCAGAGATATTTAATTAAGAAATTGAGAGAATTAGCTTCACACCAACTCAAATATTACTTCAAAGAGTAAGGAAATGAAATACAATCAACGAATATTACAAGGCCATAGGGCCGAAATATATAGGGAAAAACAGCAAGGAAACTTCACTACTCTTTCCTACAATTCAAGTGCATAATGCCCATTTGATGGATCCCATAGGTTGTCCTCATTGATCAAGGCTAAAAGGGTTCATAGTGGTGAAAATGGGCTGTCTTTGGGTGGGAAATTCGGCCATGTGAAGGATAGGGTGAGGGAGTGTGTCCTTTTGTCCATTTCTGTAAATTAAGGTATGTGACACATCAAGGAATTGATTGTTTATTCCTTTGGACTTATTATAGGTGTGAGAAATGATTTGGGGGGGAGGAATTTGGCGATGGGACAAAGGGATATGTGGGGGGATGGTTTTGAATGATTTTCACACCAAGACAAAAGACATGTTTAATCATTGTCTCCTGATTTGGTCTTTTGTGTTTTGTAATGGATTGGGATGGATGGGGATGGATTCTAAGGCCAAAAGGGGATGTATTTTCGTGGTTTTGAAGTAGGAAAAGGTGGGGGAAGGTTTTATTCAAAGTAGGGAATATTAGGAAAGAAAACAGCACACACAAAGCAATTTTGTTTGTCCTTGTCTCTTGGATTTTCGGCTATGGCTTCAAAGTGAGGTGAAGGACTTTATTTTGGTTAATAAAGGCAAATGAAATACTTTTGGATATGTGGGAGTGTGTTGGACTTGTAGGCATTTTGGTCTAGGTTGGGTTTTGGGAGAGAAGTGTCATGGTTCGGGCTTTAATGTGGGACGGGTCAATGAGTTCAACCCAAAATGGATCATAGCACCTTGACATTAAACACTTGACTTGTTGCACTACTAGTGGCGTGTGTGAAGGTGCATTCCGGGGTATATCATCCATCCCTGATTTTCTTCCATTTCTTTTCTCCCCATTTCTCCTCTTAACCTTACTCTTTCCTTCCACTAAAAACACCCAAATGATGTACCCAAGCTTAGGAAAAGGCTATGGATAAATAAGGGCAGATTATAGAGGGGAATATATGATGAAGAATAGGTTGGATTTGAGTATAAAATGGTGAAGATAGTATGGCTGTTTGGAAAAGGTGATATGGCAGAATGAAGGGCAGGAGAAAAAGCAATATTATGGAGTGGTTTTTGATGAAGAGATGAAGTGTTTAAATGGGGGAAAGGGGATGGACGAAATTGGGGGAGAAAAAAAGGGAGTTTTGTGGTGGTTTTCTGGTTGTATAAGGATAAACCAAATAATGAATAAGAGATAAACACACTCTTATTTTATTTGGGGCTATTTCTTTTCACACAATAATATTCACTACTATTATATGAAATAGACTCCTAACACACACTCAAAAGTAGCCAACTTTAGAGATATTTCATTAGGAAATGGGGAGAACTAGCTTCACACTAATTCAAAGATTTTACTCAAAGAGTAAAGGGAATAAAATTACAATCTGATGCTGCATTACAAGGCCTTTGGCTGAAATAAATAAGGGGAAGAAAACTAAGGGAAAGCTTCCGACCACTTTCCTAGAATCAAGTGTATAATATCCATTTGTTTGATGCCTTTGGTTTGTCCTCATTGATCAGTGTTAAAGGGTGAAAATGGGGTGTCTTTGGTGTGGGGATTTCGGCCATGTGAAGGATGAGGGGAGGGGATGGTTTGGTTATGTGAAGGGTGAGGTGAGGGGCTGGATTTTTGGTCCACACATGAGGAATAATACATTAAGGATTATCCTTTATTCCTTTGGTTTTATTGTGGATTTGAAGGGTGATAAATGGGATATTTGGGGGGCTGAGTTCGGCCAGGGGCATAAGGGGGTGTGAAAGGGTGTGGGTTTGATGTATTATCACAACAGGACAAAAGACATGCTTTATTCCTTGTCCCCTGGTTTGTTCCTCTTGTAGGGGGGGAATGTTTGTGATGGATGGGGACTGATTTTAAGGACAAATGGGGGCATATTTTCGTGAATTTGAAGTAGGAAGGGATGGGGAAGGTTCTTATTTGCTGAAAGGAATATTTAGATAAAAAATGAGAAGAATCGTGCTGAGAATGGATGATAAAAATTAGAAGAATCGTGCTGTATTTATAAGAATGGATCCAAGGCGTCCATGTCAAAGCGTCCAGATCTGGACGCCTGAGTAAGCTGAAGCGTCCAACTCCCAAGCGTCCAACTTGGCCAAGCGTCCAAGTTGGACGCCTTAGGCCCTGGTCCGTTTAAGCTTCGCAGCTGATGCGAGATCTTGGCCCAATTTCGCTGGTTTTCGGTCCCGAACACTGTTTTTGACCTCTCGGAAGCTCGTTCAAGCCCGAATCTTGATCCCTTGATGATTTATTCCCTTTTTCTCAAGTATTTTAACATAAAATGGATGATTTGTGATGATTTCATGTGGAATCCCTTTTTATGAGTCTTAGAACGAAAATGAGAGTTTTATCCATTAAAATCACATTTTATGAGATGATTAAATACTATTTACGTGCAATAACATTTAAAATATGATGTAAATGATAAGAACGAAACGGACTTATCAGTCATTTAGGAACACACTTGACTACATACCATTCCCACTATATATGGACGAAATTCCCATGTTATTATTCAACAAAATTAAAGACTTTTATAAGCTTAATCCCTCATCCATGTGCCTGCCCAAAAAGTCTTTGATTGAATAGTAATATCTTGTCCTATCACTCACTAAAAGTCAAATCATGTTGTTTCCTTTATTCTCCCACCTTAAGGACGAAAATCATACATTAAGACCACTCAAAATACATGCCAAATCCCTGATCATTAGCCTTGAATTCAACTCATTTGGGATATTAACACATGCACAACATTTGTTTTATTTTGTAGGAAAGAAGTGGGAAGTTTCCTTTGTTGTATTTTACTTATCATGTTTGTTGTATTGCTTTCTCCATTCCATGGCCTATATATTTCAGCCCTGGTTCATTGTTTTAATCAGCTTGTAAAATATATTGTGATAATATAAGTTTCCTGCTCAGTTCTCTCTCTAATTCTATATCTTAAGAGTGGTTCTCTGACAATTGTAGTTTTTCGGGTAGTAAACCTTCCCAACAAAGGGTTAGTTTTCTCTCCGAGTGTCATATCTCTTGAGGAGTGGACGAAGGGAATTAGTTTAATTAATCTAATTAGGCGAAGATTAGGATTGGTTTATGAAAGTCTTCTCGGAACGATTATAAAAAAGGGAGCAGAGTAAAAATAATAAATAAATTTTACATAGTATAAGTATAGATCTGAACATAAGGTCTGGACATCATATGGATCTATTTTATCATATTAAATTAACAATTGGAATAATAATATTTCTATTACTACTCATCCATTTCTAGATTTGTACTTAATCTGTTGCACTTGAATATCATAGCCTTTTGGCATACAATATTTTCTCAATAAATAGCTAATTAAATCTTTCGAAAATAATTAACTAAATAAGGCAAGAACAATAGATTAACCATTCCAACATTAATTTAACATCAAAAATAAACAACCAAACTAGTCCGGACCCAGAGATCCGGACCCTAACTCATACTATGCAAACATAAACTAAAACAGCATTTTATTAAATAAAGAAAACTTACTACTTCCGTAAAAGCGGAACAGAATAGATCGGGAGTCAAATCCTCCGGAAAATACTTAAAAATAATAACTAAACTAATATACAATGAAATATTGAGCAAATTCAATGGGAAACCCGAAATGGGTTGTGAGATGGTGATTGGAATGGTGGAGATCGCGTGGTATTTATAGGGCAGCAACCGCGGGCGTCCAACTCCCTGGGCGTCCAACTTTGGGCGCCCGTCCCCTGACCACGTGTTCCGTCCACTCCTGCTGTGCCGCGTGTCGTTCCCGTGTCACCAGCCTTGCTTGGGCGTCCAAATATCCCAGGCGTCCAACTTTGGACGCCCAGGAACCGAATCCAGCGCCCATTTTGCTTCTAATTGCGGTTTCTCGTGATTTTGGGCCCGAAGTTGTTCCGTATTGGCCCAATTGGCTCCCGAGCACTGATATCTACCTCCAAAGTATTATGAACTTTAAAATCTGAAACTTTTTATCCAATTTGTACATAAAATTGACAAATCCACTTAATTTAATTTGGAACCCATATCTTATTCTTCTTGAGACAAAACATAAGTTTTGTTACTAGTAGACACTTTCAATGGGTAAATTTATTACTATTTTCATGCAATAACGCTTAAAATATGTAGAATAAAATAAGAACAAAATGAACTTATCATTCTCTTAAGTGGGAGTTTTAGGTTCTAGATATATTAAATAAGTTGAGTGATTCCTTATTTAAATACTAGAGTTTAACCCGAGTGAAGATAAGTGTGTGTGATTCCTCTTATTATTCACTTGATAAATGCTTCTTTTCCTCTCTTGTGATTCCTCGTATTTGGATTGAATGTCCAAATAGCTAACACCGTGGAACTGCAAGACTACCAAACCCTTGACGATCTTACAAAGTTGGCTCTCAAAGTTGAAAGCCAAATCAAGAAAGGCAAAGCTGCCCAAATGAGAACCTCTTCTTCATACCCACCTTTACTCCCCACTCCTTCATCCCCTCCACATCCCACGTCCTCTCACCATAAACCCATACTTCCAAACCCTCCCTCAAATATCCAAAATCAATCTTGGCACAATCAAAACATCAACCGAACTCCGAAATGTTATCGTTGCCAAGGCAATGGTCACATAGCTCAAGATTGTCCCAATAAGAACGTCATGACTTTGGTGGAGTGCAATGATGATACTTTTGACCCTTCATGGGATAAAGAAGAAGAAGAGTATGTCGGACCTGATGATGGAGAGGTTTTGGTCATTCGTAGAACTTTAAGTGCGATGGCCTGTCCAAAAGAAGAAATACAACGAGAGAATATCTTCCATACTCGTTGTACAATCAAAGGAAAGGTGTGCTCTCTCATCATTCATAGTGGGAGTTGTACGAATGTTTCCTCTAAGACTATGGTGGATAAACTCCTATTGAAAACCTCACCACACTCGACACCGTACACGATTCAATGGCTGAATCATGGTAAAGGGTTACGTGTTGACACTCAATGCTTGGTGTCACTAAGTCTTCGACAAACCTACAAGGATGAAATATGGTGTGATGTGATCCAGATGGATGCTTGTCATGTGCTGCTTGGTGTCACTAAGTCTTCGACAAACCTAACTAGCTTCACACTAATTCATTCCCTTTACTCAAAGAGTAAAGGGAATAAAAATACAATCTGGTACTGCAGAACTTGTCTCGGGTTTCAGCGCCGGTCGGCTAGGCCATGGTTCTAGACTAGCCATCTACCCAGCGATGGTAGATTTCTCCCATGCATGGGTAAGTGATCCCGGGATTCCAGAATCATGCCACCCAGCGATGGGAAGATCTTCCCATCGATGGGTAAGCAGTCCCTCAGCCAAACCAACTTCCAGAACCATGCCAAACAGCGATTGGAAGTTCTACCCATCGCTGTTAAAGCATTGGTGCAACATTACCACAAGGCAGAATGCCCTTACCCAGCGATGGGAACCTCTACCCATCGATGGGAACCCAGCGATGGGAGGGCATACCCATGGCTGGTTAGGCATGACCGTTGCGATTCATTTAAGGCTGATTCTTTCCTTATTTGAAAGTCAACCTCCCACCCAGCGATGGGAAGCATCTACCCATCGATGGGTAGGTGACTGTTGCCTTCAAAACTTAAGGAAAATTGCCTTACCAGCGATGGGTAAGTCCAAACATCGATGGGAAGCCAATATCCTGTAGATCCCAAATTTAATCAATCCCATAAATCAAGCCAATCACCCCTTAAATGTTTTGATCCGTTGGAGCCTACTTTGGCACTATAAAAAGGGGTGTTTGGATCTGATTTACACAACAATTCACTTCACAATATTCATACTTTCATTGCATTCAAATAACACCATTTTCCATGGCTTTCTAGAGCCAAATTGTGTGGAGTTTGAGTTGTTCTTGAGCGTACTTAGTTTACTCATCATCTACTCTTAAAGAGAGTTTTGTTCTTGAGTGTTTAGTGTTGTATACACGTTAAGGGAAGCTTGTTTCCCTTGGTTGTACGAAGAAAAGGTATTTTCCTTCAGGTTGAAGTCTTGGAGTGCGGTATCTCCAAGCAAGTGTTGTTGAGGCTCGTGGGACTCGAGTTCTCAGGTTGTAACGGTTTGTTAAGCACCCGTAAGCTTAACGGGAGTAGTGTAGCTCGAGAGAGTCTCTCGGGAGACTGGACTAGCCACACGTTGTGGTGAACCAGTATAAATCTTGGTGTGTTCCCTTTACTCCTTTTTATTCCGCTCTTTACTTTATCCTGCAATTCTTATTCCGC